TCGGCACAATATTCTATATACGGACACGAATCGATCCGCAACGCCTTCTGAAAAACCCCTCTCCACCAGGACCGAAGAAGCGACTGGCGACACGTCCCGTCGATTCTTTTCGTCGGTGCGCGGGACCCCGTTGACGACGATTGGATTGCGATGGTATCCGGGACTGCCTGTCGAAATTGTTCCTTTCGACGAGGCCTCGCGGCGAAGTACTCATCAAAAAACGCCGGGCCGCGTCCGTTCGGGTTTCCGAACACGACGTGTTGTGATCCGGAGCCGGATCGAAACCCGTCGCGCTTATTCAAAGACCGCACACGGTCGTAAAAAGACTGGGTTCCGACAACGTTTCGCGTCCGAGTCGTAATTCTTCCCCCTTGTTACACGACCGATAGGCTATAGTAACAACAACGCCGCCCTCGTACAACTTTTACCTGCGCCACTTGCCTTCAAAAGTTTTGATTGGGCAGGTCGGGACTTTACAAACTATTTGTTTGGGGATATTTTCACTTTCCAAACATAGCCGTTCTCAGATTCCCTCGTGCTGAGTGGCACTTAATTTCCAGAAATTATTCAATTATTTATTGAGATTTTCTCCGAAAAAACCTCTTTGTGACGAACATTCTAAAAAAGAAGCCCGAAAAAGTTACGTGCAAAATTATGCAGACATTTTCGCGAGTATTCAGGGATTGCTCCTGCTGTAGTTCCAGCACTGCACTCGTGCTTGAGACTTTCTTCGGGATTCGGCAGACAATCCTCATCGTGACCTGAGTACGTAATAGCGCATCAGCTTCGATTTACGGCCAAGTCTTCGTCATATTATTGTAACACTTTGAAATTCAAATGCGCGTTGGAACTTCGATCAGTGTGAAATTCGCGACGACATCTTCCCTTCGTCAGATTATGTGGTACTTTTTCTCACGGATTAGACGTCAAAACAGGCATTCGAAAATTGACCAGAAGAAATGTTCAAGCCTTGGTTTTTCCCAAACGTTCAACACGATCATCTTCCCCAGGATTAGCTGAGAACATAGCATAAATATTCCTTTACCAGAAATTATGCCACACTTTTCTCCATCAAGCAAAATTAGGACCTTTTCTAGCAACACTCACAATAAAAAAAGAAAAAGAACACAGCGGAGAAGCGATAAATAGAAAACGCTACTAGAAGATATGCAAAAAGAAGAAAAGCGTTGTCCTTGAAAAAATCCTTCTTAAAATTTTAAATACTAAATAGCATACATACAAAGAATCACCGGAGGTGGGCAATCGTTTCATGTGATACAGTAACATGTTCGCCTCTGATTTGCTCTCAAGAAGATCTACGGTACCTTTATAATGTATGTAAAATTCGGAATCGTCTTGTACCGTGAATACATCGTTGTCGCAATTACGAAGTGTTTTAATCGTAGATGATAAGCTCTTGTAGTCGTTCTTCGTCGTACTTTTGTATGAGTGCTTGTTTGAGACAAAAAGCACCCCGTCGAATACGAAGTAAGCACTTGGCAACTTTTTTTTAGATTCCTTGTACAGTTATAGTGTAAATTGCGTTCATGAAAAGGTACCATTCAATCCATTCGAAAAATAATACGATATCTTACAAAAATAGAGACAAAAATATTATAAGCTCGTCACTGTTGGTTTTTTTCATGGATGCTCTTTATTCTTGGTATAAATCCTGCGTTTTAACTTTTTAGAGGTGAAATTTCAATTGCTGATTTGCGACGAGACATTAATTTTTTTTCTGAAAACTTTTCTACTCTGACTTGGAAAGCTTGAGGCATTTGAAAAACGGGGGTTCGTTCGCCGTGAAAAGAACACTCGCGATTAAACTTTTCCAAGTGCTTGAAAGTAAGAGAGGCAGGAATAATGAACAGGAGTAAATATAATGTGAATTGCTTGATCTTGATCTGCACGGACTTGCTGCAATGCATCACCTCGTGTACCAGCAGCAACTCGTCAGGACATTGATCAAAGTCCTTTCAGAACGAGGCGCGGCACAAACTGTCAGCCGCTTTTTCAAGGGCAATTACGCGGCGACGCACGGGTCGAAACTTGTAATTGAAACTGCACCTGACGTCAGAAGATGTGCGTGCTGAAAATACAGCATACATAAGACGAGAAGAAGAAAAAAACCTGCAGAATCGCTTTTGAGTCTCGCGGATAATTAATTTATTCATTCAAGAATGATTCTTGAGCAACGAGCCCTGGAATTTCACTGGAAACGTCGCATTTGAAAGTTTTCCACGTGTTCTGGAATTTTCAATCAAGGACGTACAGTATTTAATAATTACGATCCTCGACATACTTACCTGGTTTACTTTCTTTTCGGTTCGTATATGCTGTACCGTATCTTGCGAAAGATCTCGTTCAATTTTCATCTAAGCAACTGCAAGTTTTGCGACATTTAAAACGGTAGATTATATGTTCGTGAGAAGCACTCATCTGGAGTTTTAATTACTTTGTAAACTTCAGGAGGCAGGGATCAACGCTCGAGAACAAGATTTAAAGGTTTCAATGAGATAATCCCTGGATGTTTTTTTCGTATGAATGCCGGCGTTTTTTAAAAATATTTTTCGAACGGACGCCAGACGTCAGATCTGTCGTCAGATACGTGAGAATTGATGACTGTGTCGACAAGCTTTTCTGACTGATGAGAAAAATGGTCATTCTGCATTCAGACATGGTTGGATTCCGGTTTAATCCGGAGGAATATTCTATGTATGTGACCTTTTCAAGCGTGTATGATTCAACTTGCTATGATGATGCAGTAGCATGATTGCATTCAAGCTGATTGTCATTGATCAAACAATCTGCAAAAATTGAATAAATTATACAAATTAGAGGATCGTCATATTACCTCGTTCACGCGCGCGGAGGTGAGTTCATTTCATGTCCAAGGCTACGAAATGAGTTCGTGGTCAAAGTTGATGATCGCCCTATTCCTCTATTTTCTGCCCGAGGTATGGAAAATTTCTTTCTGGGAAATTTTGATAAAATAAGGATGACCTGCTGCATGAATTTCCAAACCTTGCCAAAGGTCGATGATCATGTCGGAAGAGGGAAAAACAAATCCTTTAAACATTTTCGAGCGATGCCTTATAAATAAGCGATGAGCAATATAATCAGCGTTTTCCCTGAATCTCCCAACTAGAAGAACCCACGTATGATTGGATTCACCGCATGCGGATGTGATGACCAAGTGACGAAACTATTGTCTTGGATCAATTCACCAACTTGGAGCAGTGGTTCCTAAACTTTTTGCATCCTGCATTGAGCTGATTTTTCTTATGACAAACTTATACAGTATTGTATTTCTTAGCATCTTATAAAAAAAAATTACGCGGATCGCAGAATTGAGGTTTCCTGTCTTTATTAGTGCCTACTTTGAGGCATGGAGATATTGGTGCTATCCTCATCTTTTTATTTTATTTTGCGAACCCTTCCTCTTTTACCCATTCCATTATTTACTACTTCTTCCCATGTGAAAGTATCGATTACTTTCCACGTTGCTTCCGTTTCTTCCATTATACATCCGTATTCTCTCATTTTCCTGGAGTGGTTGTGTAGTCATGGGACTTCATTAACCTTTTCGAAGTTGATTCCTTTGGCGAAATGCCTTTGTCTTACCTTAGATTTTATAATTTACTGCTGTATGTATTCAACGATACTGTACAAAAAAGGTATTTTGAATAGAAGAATGACGGTTACTGGCAAATGCAGTGGTATTATCCAATGTGAAGCCCCTGGAAAATACATGCAGACAATATCAGACTATATTTGCAGAATATCTTCATGAGCTAAGGACTTCATGCGTCTTTTAGCTGGAGTATTTAAATTTAAAGAAGTGACACTTGATTCATCACTTCTGCATGACGAAGTACCAGCACCATTAGTGTTATGGCTGAAACCCCTATACTGTACTATACTTTACATCTCAGTCACTTTAGTTTTACCATCATTTAAGGTTCTGGTCATTTTGTGGAGGAGGGGGTTTTTATATTGGGTATATAAAAACTCAGGGTATTTTTGTAAACTGGGCGGTTTGGTTTGACTGAAGATCACCAAAATTCTAGCTGAGCTAAGTGGCCGCTGTTTTTCTTTTTATAAAATATTTTTATTTCATTCATAACTTACAGCTTAATCCGTTCGTTCGTTCATGGACAAGCTCGTATTGAAAATTATATTTCTTTTCTCTCCCACTCAATCTCCCCAACCCCATTTTCTTGCACTAAAATTGTTTTGTTCGACTTCGACCACACAGAACAGTTCAGCTTTTGTGAATAAGGTGTGATTCGCGCGGAACTTTTTCAAGGGCAGAATATGGCAAATAATGAACCTTGACAGCGTTACTAAGCCATACTTCGAAGATACTGAGTGCATAGGATGCAATGTCATCTATAATTACAGGACAACCTTGCATACCAGCACCTATACTGCCATGTTTCCATGCATATTCACAACCATCTTGCGATGGCATGCTTATAAAGTTGAACATCAATAAGCCGCCACCATTTGTTCCTGAGTTTTTTGGTGATTTATCAAGAAGACCAGAACACTGTACGTACGATGTGAAAATCAAGTATTGTATAATATGAAATTAAATAGCCATTCTGCTAGAAAAAGTAACCTTGGGATAAATAACTTCAATCTAGCTAACGTTCCCAATAAATACATAATGTCATCCGTGTGTGTAATTTTTTTCTCAAGTGGAGAGCTCTCACAGAAACTTATACGATGTTGGCGGGGTATATCATAGAAAAACTTGATTGACAGAAGCCAATTTGAGTAGTTAATGTTTTTGGCAGATGGTGGTCGGCGTTTTAACATAGTTTCAGATTTTATCATGATTGGAAAGATTCGTTTTTCACAATATTTTGGAGGTTGCCGCGAGTGATGGCGGCTTACTGGGGGAGCGTTTTAACGGTGTTTGACTGCATACAGTATACCATCGGTGAAAAAGCCCTGCCTCATTAAATTGAAAAGCATCATAGGAACATTGGGACTCACTGGCGGAACTCGCGGGACCAGCAGACGTAGATGACCGGATTCATGCTGGAGTTGATCCAGCCCAGCCAGGTGAGGACGCTGAAGAGCAGCGGCGACTCCGGGATGCAGCGCGCACTCAGCGCGGCGCAAACGCCCACGATGAGATTGCAGATGAGGAAATACGGGAACCAGCAGACGATGAACACGCCCATGACGATCCCAAGCGTCTTGGCCGCCTTCTTCTCCTTCACGAACCGAGCCAACTTCCGGCTGAACGACACTCCTTTCGGGTACGGCGGTGACACGCGCGCCGCAGACGTGGTCTCCCCGATCCCGGCGTCCGGCACAACGATCGCGTCGCCGGCGTCTTCGTCAGCCTCGAGCGGATGTTCCCGCGGCGGCAGAGGATCCACCGTGAGTTTCTTGGTCCGCGAGTCAAAGCGCGGGGCAGCCTTGACGGTTTGTCCGCCGCGGTGGATTCGCAGCGCCATGACGCTGTCGTCGTCTTGCACGTTGTGGTAGATGGAGCCGTCGAGCTCGGGGCGGTGCGTGGAGGCCCGCTGGGAAGGCCGCCCAATGTACCGACAGCCCTGACGCAAGGACTTGGTCGTGCTCACTGCGGACTTGTAAATGCGGCAATAGGTGAAGACCATGCCGATCAGCGGCGCGTAGAAGGAAATGATGGACGAGAAGGCCAAGTAGCCGAGGTCCTGCGTGAACTGACACGTGTCCGGGGCACCGGAGAAGTGACCAGGCACCGAGCGCCACCAGCCGATGGCGGGAAAGGAAATCAGCGCCGAGAGGAACCAAACAATGCCTATGAGCACGGCGCCGACCTTTCGCGTCATCTTCAACGGGTACGTGAGCGGGTCCGTGATGGCGATGTAGCGGTCGATTGAGATCGCGCAGAGATTCAGGATGGACGCCGTGGAGCACAGCACGTCGACGGAGTGCCACACGTCGCACCAGTCTTGGCCGAACACCCAAACGCCGCCCATTGACTCCATGAGCGCGCCGACGGGCATGACCAGGGCTCCCATGAGCAAGTCCGCCGTGGCCAAGGAAGTCACCAGGTAGTTGGTCACTGTCCGCATGCATCGCACGCGCCACACGGCCATGATGACCATCACGTTCCCGACGACCGTGGCGCCGCTGAAAGCGATGAGCACAAGGAGGACCCACCATTCCAGACGCCAGTCCGAGCTCGTCCGCGGGCCGAGGGTTCCGTTCCCAAACTCGAAATCCGCCGTGTCGTTCACTACTGTTAAGTTCCATTCCATCGTCGTCAAGTTACCGTCGCCGTCGAACGCCGCCGGGTCCAAGCCCGGCAGCTCGAGTTCAGTGGCAGTCGCCGTCGCCGTCATTTCCGACCACGGGTGAGGACGACTCGGGCCCGTGTCATCGGCGGCATTCTCACGCGCGCGCAGCGGCTCCGCGGCGGCGCTAACTGAATAAAACTATTTTTTCCGCTTTGCAAGCAATTGCTAAACGAGTTCGCTCAAGTTTCATCTCGTCCGATTTTCCGGCATCCTTCTGAAAATGAAATACCGTGTGGGAAAGGAAAAGTCACGATCATATTTTTGAAACTCGATTACCGAGTTTTACATGGAGTGACGATGATTTTTACGATTCGTTTGAGGTTTGAAAACAATATCCCCGGAAAAAATCTACTCAAAAGTACAATACTGCACTTTTATGACAAAGTTCGGAGCACAAGAATTTTTGCATGATCAACTTCTAATAGCAAACTCAAATATGTTCCACCAAGACTGTTCATCAAAAACCAATGATCAAAACTTGCCATATCTTTTTTTAGCAGCAAGCTTTAAAAAATTGAAGTAACGCATTCAATTGACATTAACTGTGACTATTGTATGCGCAACGTTCTAAATACAGTGCAGTATTATGCTTGCACATGTTCTCAAATTGCTTATCTGTTTTAAATGCACTGTACTGTAATTCGGGTTCTGAACTGCGGGAAGTTCCAAAAGCTTCATTTGGAATTATTGTTTACTAAATGAAATCGAGTTACTGTACTGCTTTTACCACCACAGTTTTTAAAGAATAAACCCTGATTGAAATAGTCTGATTTGAATAGAAAAATGTGGACAATGCCTGAACAAATCTGCTAATTTCCCTGAAAAAAGAAAATACAAGTATATAAGAAAGTGCAGGAAATCGGGGGGTTTTTTCTGAATATCTGAGGGATCACCAGAAAAAAGCTCTTTTGATTGAAAATGTTAAGAAGCATACAACATAAAAATACACTAGCTTATGAGAGCTTTCCATTGGAAATAACTGCAGGAAATTAAGAAGAAAAATAATTTAAACTCGAAAATAATTTAAATTTCGCTTAAAGATTTGAATTTAATTTTTTGGCGGGATTCCCATTTTGGAATAAAATGTCACAGATAGGATTTCTTGATTATTTATTTATTTTAATTTTTTCGAGGATTTTAAAATTTGCTTTTTATTTATGAGATTTTATCTTCTAGTCAAGTTCGTTGTTGAACGGAAAAGGGTGGTCGAAGGGTTTGTCATGAAATTGTTTTTCCTTGGGGCCCTCGTTGCTCAAAAGTCCCTACTGTATATTTTAAAATTGAAGAAATATTTACCATTTCAACCTGACAGCGTCCTGGAATGCGCACATTTTTGCTTTTATAGTTAGAAAAGACAAAATACCATCCAGTCATATTTAATCAATAAAATGCAAAAAAACAAGAAGTGTGAAGTTTCGTAAATTTTTAAACTATTTCGTTAGGTTTCGCATAAAAATTAGTAAATTAAATTAGAATAATTAATATTTTTGAAAATTGTCAATCCACAGTCTTCCTTAAGCGATTCATTCGTCATACACGGTAGGCTGTGGTATAAAAGCTATAATTTTTAGACTGCAGTATGAAAAAAAAGTCGAATATCTCGAGCATAGTTTTATGCTGTGTACGCGTTTTCAAGTGCACCTTGCAAACAAAAAAATCAATTTCCCTGCCGATGCATCACATGAATGATTATTTTGAATGCTTTCAATTCTATTCTAAAGGCCAGGCCCTTCTTGAAGAATGAAAATTCCTATGAGACTAAAGCAAAACATTTCTAATATTAAATTTGATATTTTCGCAACATTTCGATGCACATTTTTCTCAACTCCGAGACAGCGGATCATTATTTGGAGATCAAGAAACTTTCGGATGACGCCGTAAATTTAGCAGCGTTAAAAGCAGGCGATTCTGCGGTCGACGGTTTCTCTTAAGTTTATTAAAAAGGAACTTCTGAGGAGGGCGGGTAAACCGCGGGTTACAATCGAGTAAACATGCGGCGAAGTATACTACCGTATATGCAACTGCTTTTTTGAGGTAGAATGCATTGGGAGGAAAGATTAGTTGATGTACTGTAATTATTTTTAATTCTTGTTTTGCTCGTTGGCAGGAGAGAAATTTTCCTGAAATAATTAAAGGAAAAAGTTCCCATAGCAACCTTCAGGCAACTTTCGTAAGAAATTTCTCTCTACTCTGCTGCGGCGAAATTGGCTCACGGTGTAAAATTTTTGCATAAATGCTCAACCTTGACAATATCAACCGCAGGTGATTCCTGAGTCCGCTGAGATTTGATAAGCGCACTTTTTGTGGAATCGATTGTGCTGCTTTCGGGTAAATACTGTACCTTATTGGATTGCATAAGCGTTTTCTTTTCTTCATTTTCCATGATGCAGTCTGTCACGAGTGCTTTAAATTATTATGTGAATGTCAGGTTTCGAATTCGTATGAGACCAGAGGAAAACATTCTTGAAGTTTAACCTTTTCAAAAAATATTTATTGGGATTTTTCTTCATTCGGCAACGTAAGCCTCTCGTGAAGTTCAATAAGAAACTCTCGGATGTTAGCGTGACCTTTGAAACATCAAAACCCGAAGATTCCGGGGTCGGCGGAGCTCGTGAAATTGCATCAATTTTTTTTTGTTTTTTTTTTTTGGGAAAGATATGAGTCGATTATTGGGTAACTGCGCAGTTAATTTAATACACGCCAATTTCCATGCAGTATGGTCCAATGGAAATTCGTGAGATTTTTTCGAGTTATTCTCTGAAAATGAAGTACTGGACCAACATGAGAGAGTAAAATCCATGCGAGACCATAGACAATAACAGTCAAAATTGAACTTTTTTCGACATTTTCATTTAAATTTCTCCATTCGGCAGCAACAACGTTTGCTAGGGCTAAAGAACCCCTCGGATGACCGCCTAATCTGAAGAACATCCAAAGAAGATTATTTTAGTGTCAGTGGATCCTGGAAACTTGGCCACAATGTATTCGTTCGAGGAAAGAAATGAGTAGATGATGGCGTGAATGCGATGTCTTACTTCTGACAATTTTTACTCAGTACATTGCAAGCAAAATGAGTGTGATTGCTCACAATTGCTATTTAAAGATCAGAAATTCTTCAGCAAAAGAAAAAAAAATCATCCGAGATTTGAGAAAAATTCCAAACACACCGCTTCCGCAGAATTTAGATGCAAATATTTCTGCAGTTCACAGCGAAAGAATGCGGTAGCATGTAATTCTGCTTCGAAAGTCTCGTATCGAATTCACAGGAGACTGCGGGAAAGATTCTTCAAGTTGCACTTCTTCTCAAAATTTTCGTTGTAACTTATCCCGTCGCTGAGCAACGACAGCGTTTCGTGGTGTTCAAGAAACGCTTCCGATGGCCGCGTAACCCTAGCAACATCAAAAGCAGATGATTCCGGGGTCGGCGCGAGCCCGGAATGAGCATGAAACCCCGGCCCGCGATTTCCCCTGGATTCCCAGAGTGACGATCTCAATTACTCGCTGACAGAATACAATCGGGGTGATGGATCAAGACGGAAAAGCGGCCCTTCCCTGCCGGGCGTCGATCGGTGTGCCAACTGCGGAGCTGGTGTCCCCGACGCGGAAAAAACGTTCCCCCCGCTGCGCGCGGAACACGTTCCCGCAGAAGCCGGCGTCATTCGTCCGGGATTTGCAGACATCAATCTCAACCCGGGGATTGCCGGCTTCCTTTCAATACTTTCGACGCACCCTTCAGGACTTTTCTCCCCCGATTCCCTACCTCCGAGGAAGCCCCAGGTTGCGGACCTTCTTCATAACTAAACATTTTCTTTATTAAGTCGCTGCTTCGAAACCCGAGCGAAACTTTACACGAGACTCAACAATGCGTCTTTTTCCGACTTACCACAGGGAATCATTCGTTTCAGGATTCTGTTGTTTTCAAAAATTAGGCTCGTTGGACCGGCGAGCAATTAATTGTCAGAGCGGTTTGTTTGTTCAAAGATAAATTTACACTTGTTTACACCTCGAATGGATTTAAGGTGGGAGAGAGTTTAATGATGGAACTTCACATTAAACCCAGCCTTTGCTTGTTTAATCAAGATACCAACACCCCATTAATGCGAGAACACGTCATCAATTCTGAAATAATTTCTAATTTTCCGTCCATCCAACCGGAGGAAAGATTGTTAATGAATATAAGAACCCAAGATAAATTGATGACAAATGACCCAGAAATTATTTCTCGTGACCGAAGAGAGCCCGAATTCTTATTTGAAAATATCTTCACAAGTAAAACCCTTGACAATTTCTTCCGAGTAAAATTCATCGCGCGTGCAAAGTAATTATTAAAAAACCACGTCACTTTGAAAGATATAAGATGCTCGGAAAAATAATTGCCAGATGCGTTCTTACATTTTAACATTTTTCATTGTCGGCTACTCACATTGAGTTCAAATTCAAGACGGCTTTTTTTCCTTGATGCGAGGAAGAATCCCGTGATTTTATGAGATAATATTCGGAAAGAGTGCGCTTTTTTCTTGCCCATGAATTAGCATTTTGCATGCAAATCTAAGCTGCTATCGCTTCTAATACGCTCAGAGATTTTTTTTATGTGAAAGAGGGCGGAAATATGTGCGCCATTCGAGGAAACAAAGTATTTTTGGAATGATGCACTGCATTATACTGGTAGATAAAAATGTCAGGCAATGGTCGTACTTTCGGGATGTGAAGAGTCATTTCCGGAACGCAAGTATCGCAGAAACGGAGGACAGAATGGGATTTCGTAAAAATATTGCTGAAAAAAATGAAACTACGCCACTTCGCGAAAAAATTTGTCGTATGCTTTCGCAAATGTTTTCTTCTCATTCGCGGTTGCCATAAATTCAGATCATGCTTGAACTATGACCTCAGTTCGTAAGGGTGAAATCTACCATTAGATGTTCAAAGTAAGATGGTCATGTAGTAATTTTCTAATCATTGGAATGGGTTCTGAGTTTCGGATATCACCCTATAGACAAAAATTTTTGATGCGAATCTTAGAAGACAGTGATCTCCAGACGCGCCTT